CTGGCAGATCTGAATAATGCAAGAATGCTGTAGCAAAATATTTATCCTTCCTCTGCGCTGTAAAGAGTAAAGACAACTATTCTATAGGATTTGTGAGTCTTGCTGCACACTAACACTCTGACACAAATGTATTTCTGTAGGATCGTTTTGTTATTATGCTGTTTTTGTTGTTCTTTTTATCGCTATGACCGCCTTACTCATTAACTACTGGACCAATTGCTTTAAATTTTTCAGTGGTTAAAGATTATATTTTTCGCTAGTTTTGTGTCCATATATTTAACCATAGCTCTCTTGTAATTCTTTTGTAATGTTTTTGTGAAACTAACAACCATTTTTCTTTCATGCCATTTTTCCTCTAAACTTTTATTTTACGTTACCCCTTCTCAATTTTCAAACAGTAAAGTTTACCTGATTAAATTTGTGTACTCTCTTTTACATGTGTGCTGCAAGTAAATTATCTAAAATTGGCGCTAGGCTAAACCGTCTCTCCGTAGTGAGAGCATAATAAACATTTATTACTTAATAGAAGAGATTGCAATGTGGTCAACAGCCTGGTTTGATCGTGTGCTTACTTGTTTTCCCAAAATTTACCTGATGAAATTGATCGCCAAGGGAGTACCATAATTTTGCACGGTGTATGCGATGCCAGGATGCTGTAGCAAGAATGCAGATAGTTTTAGCTCTGCAAGATAGCAGATAGCTCAGAAAGTAATCCACTTGAGTGGTTCCCAATCATTTTTTGACCTAATCAAATTAAAAAATCTCGCGAGCCAAGATTATGCTCAAATATTAAACGGCGTATTTTTATGAACTCGAAACTCAAAATTTAAATCTTTCCTAATACAAAAAAAAAACAGTTAACATAAAATTTATTCCGCAAGAATTTATTTCAAAGTGAGGAAGAAGCTGCCCTTGTCTAGCATTGGCAATTTAATCAAGTCAAGTTTATATTTTTCAGCCGGTAAAAAACAACCGTATATAATATTAAAATGAGAGATAATCATACAATTTTACTACGGGGAACAAGCGTTGCTTGGCTTTACTTAAGCAAAAGTTGCCGCCGAGTTTATATGCTTAGATGCTTCCCACATGTAAAATTACCATCGAGTAACAAACACTTCAATACCAAATATAAAATAAACAATAAAATTTAAATAAGTAACGTTTAGATTTTTTTTAAAACAAGCAAACTGACTGACTATTAACAGCAGATACCAAGTTTTTATGCTTTGATATTACAATACCGAATTCAAAATAAACAAACGACTGCGTGAACTCCGACACCCACACAACCTAGACTTGTAGTTGGGCCAGGGTCAGGCGCATGGTTAACCTTTCATATCGACCAATCCCAAGCGGAAATCCTAGCCTGGTGAAACTAACCTAGCTAGAATGTATTTAATTCAGACTATCAAACCATCCTCTCATCATAAAATAACTACAAAAATCCTATTTTGACAGAACTGACTTGCCTGTACCGTTCAGATGAGACACTCTAATACTAATACGTCGTATCGCTTTCCTCTTTTCTCAGTAGCTATGGGAAATTTTTTCTATTCGAATTCTATTCAAACGAGACACTCCAATACTGTTAAAACGCCTTATCGGTTTTCCTCCTAAAATAAATGTGAAAATCCGATCTTGTCCGCGGAACACCTACGCTTTTCATCTCGCAGAACACCAAGAAATTGAAAAATTGATACTAAAATATTGTGCAATGGATTTACTTTTTGTGCATCAACTTGCACAACCGGCTTATCACAGCATCTATTGGGGCTTCTTGTTTTAGCCAACAATCCATTGATAAGGGTGGTATGGTAAAATTGAAAAGTTTGCTGTGAACTTGACAATTAAAATCTTATCTTATTAAAATCTTGAATCCTGTCCGCCTGTTCAGGTAGCAAGGCGAGCAACGACCGAGATCTCCATGGCGACCAATTTAGTCGCAATTTTGGGTGCTCCCGAAGTATTCGAACCAAGAAGGCGCACAACCTGAACATAATATGTGTGTCAGGTTAAGGTTGTGCGTCATCTAGGTACAAATTCTTCCGCTCAGCGGAACACTGCGGAGGAGCTCGCGGAACACAGTTTGAGAAACGCCGTTCTTACACCATCAAAGTGTTCTATCAACTTTCCTTTCCTCCCGAGATGAATACTAAGATTACATCCTACTCTACATTCTCACATCTATCGAGATAAGACGCCTTTCTCTCCCCCAATGGCAAATATAAAAATTCCATTCTATACTTATGTCATCTTAACGGCTTTCCTCTCCGCCCGTATAAATATAAAAATCTTATAATATGAGTAAGCCGTCTATTCGGCTTTTCTCTCCCTCTGGATAAAATTACCTTGCCTAAATATTCACTGACAATCAACAAAAAAGCTACGACATCCGGTGCATTGAAATTTATTTTATCCGAATGTCATAATACAATATTTTTACAATGACGTGATACGGACGCTAAGGGTGAGAGTAATAAAGGGGAGGGGGGGGGGAGGGTTATCCGAGAAAAAAATATTTTAAGAATTGAAGTTGGAATTAAGATGAAAGATCTATGGGTAACAGAAACAGGGAAATTGACGGATTATCGAATATATTAAAAAAACATTCCTAATAAATCGGATGGTATATACTCATTCTTAGGACCAAAATGACGGTTTCAGCTAAAATTTTATGAAAAAAGTATGAGTTGGGGAATACGGAAAGGGAATTTTTTTTACCTAATTTATCTATAGTAATCGTTGTCATATTTTGGAAGCTTTTATAATCAGGCGGAAGGATATAGGGAACGAAAATAGGGGAGAGGTGGCCGCACATATCACGTGTCTAAATTTAGGAATGCTACGATAAAGCCTACAATGCTGTTGCTAAGTGTACTACTAGAATCAAACACGGCCGAGCATGAATAGATGATAAATTTTATAATTAGTGCCATTGCTGGTTCCCCAGTAAGAAGAGGACTAATTCATATTATAGGAATTGAACCGGGGAAAACCCGGATGAGTAATTCCCCTCAAGACATCTTCGGTGACAACACCACTGTTAAATTCGTTAAAAGTCAAAATTATGCTAAAACCGAAAAACGATGAAATTATCGCTTTTCAACCAAAATTATTGACAGATAAAAATCGAGGGGGTAAAATTATCATTTCTAATAATTGAAAACTCAGGACTAAATAAAAAATGAGTTTGAGTTTCATGAGTAATCGACATTGAAGTTAGTCATCAAAAAACTTTTAGTGTGAAGGTGTCTTTTAGAAACGACTTATAATTCTTAAAATGAAACGTCTACGAGAAACATTTGATGAATTCGAAAGAAAACGTTAACTGTTATCTATTTTCCGAATCAGTGCGACTTTTTTCAACATATTTACAAGAAAAACGCAAAAATACAATTCTTTTTCCATTGTTTTACGTAATAATTCAATTATTGTGATGTAATTATTGTAATTATTTATTTTTGTGACGTAATAATAACTACCAACTACTACCATTATGACGAACAATGTAAATGTTAGTTCGCCGATGACAAAAAATTCTATGATTGATTCTTCAGGAATGATCCTTTACGATTACTTCTATGATGTCATTAACAAATGACGTCATAATATAATAAAAAAGCATAAAAGCTTTCTACTCCTAAACGTGACGTTTGAACATGACGTCACAATATTATGACTTTGCGACTAAAGGCGGTCTAAAAAACATGAAAACATGCGAACAATAAATTAACCCAAAAATTTACGTTCAACTTATCTGTACATGTATAGGCTCCTTAGCTTTTTGTCATATTTATTCTTATTTTATTCGTGTCGAGGTCAGAACCACTTGCTAAAAAACCGTTTTTTGTTTAATTTGTTAGCAGCTTATGCAAATTGCAGTTTGAGTTCAAACTAGGACTGTTAGTGGGAAAATTCATTCATCGTTGAGACTGTTTGCGCGAAAATGCTGTTTAGTCAAATAAATGAAAGTTTCATATTTTAGTTTCTACTGGCTTTGCAAGAATCGTAATTTTCGTAAAAATGTAGAATCTTATGGAAATGACTTTGGCAGTAAAAATCAACGCCATTGCTTTTTTGTTTTCTAATTGGTATTTGTGCGAAACTGTACGAAAAAAGCATTTCAAAAGCAAATATCAATACTTCATTGAGGATGACAATCAGCACGAAAGAATTTTCCCGACTATGATATTGGCCCAAACATGTACGGAAAGAATAGAGTGTAAATTTTTGGACCAAATCGTTGCTAAAATCTTAGTTTTAGCGAAAAAATAAAACAAAAAACCGCCCGCAGCATAACGAATTAAAATATTATTTACAAAGTTTTCACCGACGAAAGACATCGAACCGTGCTCGGTATGTTGGGTTTGGAAGTTCTCACAAAATTTGAAATCGTTGAATATTTCTTTGATTCACACAAATTTTTTTTCCAAAATTTTGAGAAACCGTTGTTCAACTTGATCTATTTCTGTTTTACTAGAACACCGCTTCTCAACCAATGGGCCATGGCCCACTTCTGGGCCACGGGAACATTTTCAGGTGCGCCACGAATCTATTGAAAATTCTGAGATATGATGAATTGGTTGACTTTGAATATAGTAGCAATAAATGGTGATTTCCATTCTTATTAGCGAAAGTGTCTATTATTGCGAGAATGAATTTTTCTTGTAGTTTTTCCTTGCATTGGAAAGTTTTTGTGCAACAAAAGTAGGCCGCGACAGAGAAAAAGCTGTGCGAGAAGCAATATTCTTTACCTAAAGTGGGATCACTTCTGGAGGAATATTTGCAAACAACTGTTGGTGCAAGCTACATTTAAATCGATTTTAGGCAAATGTGCTCAGAATTTATTGACATGAGAATATCAGTTGAAATGACTAGAAAATCCGCACTGCAGGAAACCGCCACATACCGAGCACGCATCGATAAACAATTTACAAGAAAATTCAATTTTCAAAAAGAAAAAAGGCGCGAAAAAAGAAAGATATTTCGAAAGAACGTGTTTAATAAAATCGGTAAAATTTATCTGCATTTTGGGGTAAGATACAAATAAAATCCAGCGATTTTGGGTTAAAAATTATGTTTTTTAGCAGCATTGCGACATAACTAATTATATTGGGGGGTCGGAGCCCGAAAAACCCACCTTGCATTGATTAGATAAGATTTTAATAGCTGGGGAGTGAAAAGTTGGAAAAAAGGATAAAAAGGCCACAAAAGAATTGTTACGAAATAATGCTAATCGTTGTTATGATGATTCGGTAGATTATGACAAAAGAATCAAAGAAAACAATAACATTGAACTACGCAACAATGAACAAAGAAAAAAAACGAAATTTTTTTCGAACAATTTTTTTTCTGAATAAAAACAGTTAAAAACACGAAAAGGTAAGAAATTGAGAAAAAAACAACATTTTCGATAAAAATTACCATACTCTAACATTCTACTTAAAACGGGGATCTCCCTACATTTAGGGGAATTTCCACGATGTCGGGAAATCCCCAAAAATATAAAAGTTCATTAATTCTCTTTCTCCATATATAGTTTTCTGTCGTCACAAACGCGTTCTCAAACCATTGTTACGTCCTGATCAAAAAACTAATTCTTCCCAAAACATTCGTTAATTTATAGAACTCAGTCGTGTAAAGAGAAAAGATCATTTTATGTACAGATTCGTTACTTGGTTTAGAAATTCACGAAAAAACGAAATTCCTAAGAAAAAAAAAGAAAAAAGTTGTGTTTTTCCTACAAATTGTTTATTTTGAGATAAAAATCATAGTTCAAACGAGTAAATTGTGTAAAAGCTGTTTTCTGGCTGAAAAATGCCCAAAAGCGATATTTTGATTTTTGAAATGACCATGCGATACCCGTAGATAAACAGGATAGAAATGCCCGTTTTATCCTGGGCCGTCTATGGCGAACACATGTTGGCAGTTTGGGTGTATTTTGAATTTTGCGCGGGAAAATCAGTGGTATTGTGACGTAGGCAGTGAAATAAAAACGAGATAAAAAAGGTGAGAAATTGCACGAAGGCAGTGGTCCGTGACAGAAGGCAATTATGACAACACATTTCAATAAAAAATGGCAGTTAAACAAAAGTATTAAATTTACCTTGCATTTTTAGTAATAACATGAAATGCAAGGTAATTTTACAATTAAGGCAGCGACGAATGAGATTGGCAACACAAGTTCTACAAATTATTCTGAATCTTTAATAAAAGCTACAAATATAAAAATCCAACATTGGTTTGTTCTAGAAAAAATAAACTGCTTGTTCTTGAAAATGATCACATGATGGCGTCATAATAGTCTTAATCTAAAATCATGATGACGTCATAATAGTTTCTTATTATTAACTCATGATGGCGTCATAATAGTCTTAATATAAAATCATGATGATCACAAAGTCTCTTATTTCTAACTCATGAAGTGACGACTATTCAAGCAAATCGTTCCGATTGCCCACCTGATATCCCGTGCCGCCATACCATATTGTGATGTCACCTATGACGTAACATGGCGGGCGTTGTTAATTATTTAATTAAAACATGACGTCACAAACGTCCGTCGGTGTATTGCCATCGCCCCTTTCTCCGTCATCCGTTACTCTGACGTAACCGCCTGTTGCGACGTCATACTTGTTTAAAGAACCGTTATTGTTGGTTGTGACGTTACTTGACGATGACGTCATATCAGACTCATTATCTCCAGATGACGTCACATGAAGCAGGTTGTTTCGTAAAATATTTTCGACTTGTTCAAGGCATTCTCGCAGGAGTTCCTAAAAAGAAAAATGATCTTTGAGTTTTTGCAAAGGTATAATTAGGTTTACGATATCAAACATGCAGAAATAAGGGGGAGTTGACTCTGATGACCGTATGTTCGTATATATATTAATATATATATATGTTATTGTTGCAATTCTCGTTTTGGTTCTGGTTGACAAAAATAAATCTTTTTCTCTCGTGCAACCGGTCTACCCAACCTCACTTGGTATCCACCGATCACAGAGTTTGGGTAGCGACTCCCGCGTACTTCTGGTAATCCTATTTCCTATAGCTACGGCTACTTTTTGCAGTATAAGTCGCAAAGATTACATCGCAAAAATTACAATATTATTGATATCAAGGTCACGTGATAGACAAGGCGGGAGATCTACACGGAATTATGAACACATAATTCAATTCATTATTATGTCTTAGAGGAAATCAAGATGCATTTAGGAGGCGTAGAATGGGCGTTGTCCTCTCGTAATTCAATCCTGAGGAAATCTAACCATATCTCCATCTAATTGTGACTTCAAAAGAACGTAATAATAACGACAGGAAAAGTCTCATTATGACTTTATAAAGATATATACATTGGTCGTTTATTACCGAATATTCAGGGATCGGAAATGGGAAGATTTGCTCCTTGATTATAATAATACGCAAAAATTGGGTCTTAAAAGTCTTTAAATTTCTTATTGCCAAGTTGGAGCCGAACAGCTAGCTTGCCGGATGCTATTGCTATGCACGATAAAGATTTTTTTTCACATTTCAGAATGTTCGGGGAGATGTTCCGACTCCATTAGTTTGCCTCCCGGCTACGCCTCTGTACGAGACTATATTATTCAAAGCTGTGGTGTCGGAGTTTCGCATATTCATATCGGAGTCGGAGTCGCATTTTCAACCATCCGGTATCGGATTTGTAATTTTGAATTATCCGGAATCGGAATTTGATACTTTTGTAATGATAATCAAACGTAAAATTCTCGTCGACTTAATTTGAATGAACGTTTTTAGCAGTCTATTCAAGAAAGCTTGCTTCAAAGTTTTTATTATTTGTTTTTCCCGATAGTTAGGTGCTGGAATCAAAATATCAAACAATCCGGAGTTGGAGTCACAAAAATTATTTTTTCAAACCCGGGTTGCGGTGTCTGAGTCAAAATTGTAGTTTCTTGTGACTTTTCCCGCTTCCACAGACCCGAATGCAACATTCAGGGTCGTATCCAAGGAAGTGGTTTCGGGGTCAGAATCCCTCTTTTGAAATGCAAAAAAAATCATTTTCTGTATCATACATAGAAATTGTTTGTAGCTTGGAACGTTTTTTTTAAGCCTCCGGCTGGGCCCTCTGTCTGTTACGATATAACTTGACAATCAGAAAATTCAGCCCCTCCTCCCCCCTGAAAAATTTCTAGCCACGTCCCTGGTAACGTCACTTCGCATTCACCGTCAACCACGAGACAGAATTCGTTGAAATCCTAATGGAGCATTTAATATAAAATCCACACACCATGGACATCATAAGGTTATATTATTTCGCACGTAAATATAAACACGCGAAGGTTACGTCTCGTTTGCGAAGAATAGCTTCCATCATTTATCAAATACCGAACAGTTCACGTCCAACCCATTTGATTCAATGATTTTAGGCGTTTCGATAACATCCGCCCATAGCTGGTTAAATGGTGAATGCAATTAAGTTTTTCCTGCCGTTTCGGTAACGTCCGCCCATAATTGGCGGAAGAGAAAAGGCAACCCAAGTTTTGCTGCTATTTCGATGACATCCGCCCATGAGTGGCCAAAGAGTAGAGATAACCTAAAATTTTCCTCCTGCTATTTCGAGAACGTCCGCGCAAGCTTGGCGAGGCAGTGATTAAATTATTGAAAGATTTTTATTCGCGTCGTTTTGAGTACTTTCTTCATGCTTGGCGAAAAAAGTAACGGCAACTCGATAAGTAGTTTCGATTACGTCCGCCCATAGCTGGGTAGAGAGTAATGTAACCTCGACAAAGTATTTTTGAGCACTGATTAGCGCGCGTCCCATGCTTGGGGTAATACAATTTCCCATCAAATTTTTAGCGACGTTTCGAGCACGCCTGGCAGAGGAATACAAGTATCTTGAAAAACGATTTTTTTTAGTCGGCGTTACGAGCACACCCGCCTATGCTCAGGAAAAATAAAAGAAATTTTCTCGAAGAAGTTCATAAATGTGTTTAGATAGGGTCCGCTCTTAGTTGGCGGAATAGTAAAATTTCCCGCCAACTAGTTTCGTGCACGTCCGAATTTGACTTTTCGAATTAAATTGGCGTTTCGTTCACGTCAAAACAAACAGTTCAAGTTAAAAACATCGTGTCGGTAACGTCCGCGATATTGCTTCAAGTTCAAATACCTGAAAACTATTTATAATGGAATTAATGACTTCGCTTGCACGAAAACCAAGCTGCTTGAACTCAAACGTCCCTTGATTTACTTCAAAGCAAAACAGCGCATCGGCTCAGCTAAGATATATATAGATATATTTCGATTGGCCAAACGAATTACTTACTATATTTCGTTGTATAAAATTTTAAATGACTGAAGCTTCAACGCCAGTGGGCATGAGTGACCGAAAATTGGCACACCGAACACCCCCAACGCGTAAACAAATCTTCTACCTGAGATTTCCCATACAGTTTGCAGCCTTTGCATATACATGCACGCTTGTTTTCCTCCTTGTTGGGGAACGGCAGTGCGAAAATGCCCCATACCAAATTATTACTCTAGCCATTTCGTGCAGGACACATTTGTTATGATATGCATTAGATCCGCTAATATGTGGTTATGCTCCGTGAACCCATAAGCGTATGCTTGCCTAAAAATTTAATAATTATTTGTGAATCAATTTTTCATTGCTTGAATAATTTTAAAGTTTTGGCTACAGATTTAGGCTGATTTTGATTCAGAAGCTAAATCAGCCAATCTTAGTATACATGGTGAGTTCATTTCTTGGTCGTGTTTTGGGCAATGGCACGCAGAGCGCAGTGTTTAGACATATTTGAAATGTTTGTGAATCTTAACGACACTTGTTAAGGGCTCCTACGCCATATTCTCGCTTTTAAAAGTGTCGGGATGAACTCTGAAGAGCAGGTCAACGAATACTGTTAGGAAAATCGTGAAATTTCAGCAGTTTTGCGGCATCAGCGGTTACCTTTGAACGGGAAGACCAACAACCACTCGGCGAAGTCCAAATTCAGGATTAGAGCAAGTCTGCGTCTGAATTCGGAGTTCTTCAAGGATAGATGGCAGATTCCATAGTGCTACTGAATCACTGTTATCCACAAGGTTTCGTTGACGCATAGCGGTGGGTATATTGGTAAAACGGACATACCGAAATCGAAAACGACTTCTAGCATGTTCATTTGCAATTACTAATGAGAAAAGAAAGACTCAATGAAGAGCAAAGTTTAAAGCTGAGAGTAATGTTAACCAACTTGAAGTTCAGGTATATCTGAATATAAAAAGTATATCCTTTTCTATTTTTAAGAAGCGTTTTCACAACTTCACCTCTTGCAAGACCCTGAACAAGTACTCTTCTTGGAAAGATCAGAATATTTCTTATTCTAATTTTGAACCCGTATATCTTCTCATTGAAGCCGCCCCTCAAAAACGGTCCTAAAACACTATATTTATAAAATTTCGCATATAAGCAGACCCCACGTTACACTTCATGCTGTAGCTGTTGGAATTAAGTTAACATAAAGTCATTTTGTTTGAGTGTGATCAGAGTTATGCGCGTGTATGCTAGTTTGGCATTTTTTTTTCTTGTGAGTTTTAAACTTGGCTTATATGCGAGGAAATACCGTATATTATATTCAAATATATCTTCATATCCTACCATATTCAATTACTCAGAGCCATTATGAAGCACTGAAAGTCTGATATGATACTAGTTTATAGCCTATTTCGGAGCGATGTAGCAGGATTAGATAATCTATATCCAATTTCCGAATAATCAAAGTTAAATTTCTTTTTTTACCAGCAGTACTTGTTGAGTTAAACTCATCCGGCGAAAGTGACACTAACGAAAGATTAGGAATGTTAAGGATTGTTACGACATAATCATTGCAGCATTGTTCTAACCACGTGATATATCCCGCCAAAACTGCCAAGGAATGTGCACGAATCTGGTTCCTAAAACCAATATTCCACGAATTACGATGAAACATCAAAACCGAACCGAAAAGATTCTGGTTTTCACACAAATAGAAGCTCCTTATTTATCGAAGGGCTGATTGTACTAGCTGTGTTAGCCAAGTGGATTTAGTTCCTGCTTATAGACTTCAGTTCCTTTACACAACTTTATGGAAAGTAGGCTAACAAAATTAGTTACCTTTATATTGGTACACATACTTCTGGAGCGCCGAATAAACGATACACACAGTTCAGGGTAAATATAACTATCAATATCGCCAAGGGTGAAATATAAATAGGCTACTTCTGGAGCGCCGAATAAACGGTATATACAGGTCAGGGTAATTTAACTTTCAATACGCCAAGGGTGAACTATAAAATACATTTTGAGAATCCATGGTTTATAAATTCACTCCATTTCAAGAACTATTGGTGTCCATGAAGTCCCTTCACAATTTCAATTTTGTTATGAAGTCAGTTCTCGATATATCTTACCAGATTTGTTGCTTTTTATTCAGTAATTGTTCAAGTATTTTTACTTCATTTAATACATCTGTGAGGGCCAAAACAATATATGGATCGATAAATTCCCTTTGCATTTGATAAATGATTCAAGACTTTATGGACGCCCTAACTAATCAAGCTTTAAAAGGAATGGAATTCCATAATTTGCATTCTTAACTTCTTAATACGTCCGGTATTAGATCCGAATTTAGATTAAGTCTGAATAGAATTAAAGGGGGAAGGGCCAACGCCCTGGGTGGGCTATGTTATTTGTGAATGTGCTGAATGAATATGAAATAGTCTTGATTTCTATTCGCTAAAATACCAGAAATTAGTGGTGACC